GAGTTTTGAAATTTTTCAACAGACCTGTTTAACGACAATTATTCCCATTTTTGAATCCGCTCTACCACTTACTCAGTTTCATTAGGTTTTTTGGGGTTGCTCACAATCCTGTCTAATTTTCATGCTTCCCAATCCTGAAAGAGATCTGTAGGTCTCATGAGATAGGAAGCAAAATTCTTCTTCAGAGCGTAAGGGGAGCTCTGGCCATAGGTCAGGATTTGTCACTGGTGACCACCACCTCTCTCATGGTTACATTTAGTGTGATAACACATTAATCTTATACATTTCCCACCATGATTTTGGCAGGTATTCTAGCAGATGCAGTGTAACAGCAGAAATGAGCATTATTTCAGGCTCTTTTTGACTTATGTCTCTGGAGATCCCAGTGATGGTTCTTGTAAGTACCCCGCCCCTATATTATTTATTTCTATATATATATATATATATATATATATATATATATATATATAAAAAAAATAAAGCAACAACAACTTATTGTAAGGTCCTTCAATCTGCCTCCAGAAGGGAGCATCACCATTTTGGTCTCTTAGTGAGAAAGGCATTATCCTTCCAGAGATTAGCAGGTTCTCTTCAACAGCAAGAATAATCATGGGACTGCATATAAGGTTGGGTTGCCAAGGTTTCAATCTTGGGCTCAGGTGATTTAGCCTAAGAATTTAGAAACAAGCAGGTCCTACCTTGCTTACCAATTTATTTAGGTTGGCTGACATGGAAAAGGTTGGAGTTTAGGGCTATCCTTTGGAAAGTACTCAAGCTAAACTCTCTGAGACTGAGGCTAACAAGCCTTAGGCTACGTCTACACTACCCGCCTGAATCGACGGGTAGAAATCGATCTCTCGGGGATCGAATTATCGCATCTCGTCGGGACGCGACATTCGATCCCCGAATCGACGCTTGTACTCCACCAGCGGAGGTAGGAGTAAGCGCCGTCGATGGGGGAGCCACGGAGGTCGATTTGCCGCCGTCCTCACAGCGGGGTAAGTCGGCTCCGATACGTCGAATTCAGCTACACTATTCGCGTAGCTGAATTTGCGTATCTTAAATCAGCTAATTTAGGATGCATCACTTGTATGTATAGTTGACTGTTTTCCAGTGTGCATTACTTTGTATTTATCAACCTTCAATTTCATCTGCCATTTTGTTGCCCAGTCACCCAGTTTTGTGAGATCCCTTTGTAACTCTGCAGTCAGCTTTGGACTTAACTGTCTTGAGTAATTTTGTAACCTTTTTCCAGGTAATTTATGAATACGTTGAACAGCACAGATGCCTGCAGACACCACTATTTACCTCTCTCCATTCTGAAAAATGACCATTTATTCCTACCCTTTGTTTCCTGATCTGTTAGAGAACTTTCCCTCTTATCCCATGACTGCTTACATTGCCTAAGAGCCTTTAGTGAGGGACCATATCAAAGGTTTTCTGAAAGGCCAATTGCACTGTATCTGCTGGATCATCCTGGTCCACATGTTTGTGAACCCCCCTCAAAGAATACTAAAGATTGGTGAGGCATGATTTTCCTTTACAAAAGCAGTGTTGTCTTCCCCAACAAATCATATTCTTCTAGACCTCTGATCTTTGTTTTTGACTATAGTTTCAACCAATTTGCTTGGTACTGACATTAGGCTTTCTGGCCTGTAATTGCCAGGATTGCCTCGGGGGCCCTTTTTAAAAATTGGCATCACATTGGCTATCCTTTAGTTATCTGGTACAGAATCTGATTTAAGTGATAGGTAACATGAAAATTTCAGAATTAACTGAGGTATGAGTTCCTTCAGAACTCTTGGGTGAATACCATCTGGTCCTGGTGACTTATTACTGTTTAATTTATCAATTTGTTTCAAACCTTCTCTGACACCTCTATCTGGGAGAGTTCCTCAGATTTGTCACCTAAAAAGAATGGCTCAGGTGTGTGAATCTAACTCACATCCTCTGCAGTGAACACCAGTGCAAAGAATTCATTTAGCTTCCCCACTGTCCTTTTCTTCCTTGAGTGCTCCTTTAGCATGTTGATCATCCAGTGGCCCTATTATATCAATATCCTCATTTAACACCAAGCACCCATGTTCACCCATCTTAGTATTTAGACTTGTAGCATTTGTATACATGCACTTATAAAATGTCACTTTACTTGTCTGCCTTCATATGATGTAACTGAGTGGGATTCTTTTTCATTTGACTATTTCTCTTAGGTTCCTACCTCTACTTTATCAACTTCTATTCTCTCCTCTTTATTAGGATCCCCATTAATAGATCCTCCCCTGCACCAGTCAGCTTTCCTCCAGCCCTTAGTTTAAAAACTCCTCTACAAATCTTTTTAATTTTACATGCTAGCAATCGGATTCCATTTTTGTTTAGGTGGAGCTCAACCTTCTGTAAAGGCTCCTCCTTTCCCAAATGGTTCCCCAGTTCCTACTAAACCTAAATCCCTCCTCCAAACGCTATAGTTTCATCCATGCAGTGAGGCCCTGCAGTTCTGCCTGTCTAACTGGGCCCGCACATAGAACTGGAAGCATTTCAGAGATACCATGGAGGTCCTAGACTTTAATCTCTTATCTGGCTGCCTGAATTTGACCTCCAGGACATTTCTCCTGCCTTTGCCTAGGTCATTGTAACATGAACACCAGCTCCTCCCCACCACCGCATGTAAGTCTGCCTAGATGTCTCAAGAGGTCTGCCACCTTTGCACATAGCAGGCAATTCACAATGCAGTTCTCCTGGATAACACAAACCCAGCTATCTATATTTCTAATGATTGAATCCTACATTGCTATTACCTGTCTCTTCCTAATAACCAGGATTCCCTTCCCTGGAGAGGTATCCTCAGTATGAAAGGATACCATGACTGATCTCTGGAAGGAGGGTCCCAACTATGGGATTGTTTCTCTCCTCTTAAGACTTTCATCCTCCTCAACAACACCAAGGCTGTCAGATGTGGAGTGGGATTGTTCTACTATATCCCAGAAAGTCTCATTTATGTATCTTTCTGTCTCTTAGCTCCTCCAGTTCAGCCACTCTAGTCTCAAGAGCCTGTACTCAGTCTGTGAGGGCCATGAGCACCTGATAGGCCACCTGCCTACACGGCAGTTAATCATACATGCTGCATTCAGTGCAATAAACTGGTAGCCTCTACTCTGCTGCTGGACTTCTGCCTGCATTCTTTTTTCTCCTGCAGATATTTAGAGAATGGTAGGGAATACCCTCTGCACCTACATTTTTGAAATAGCTCTGGGCTACTACCTTATGTAGTCAGAAGGAGTACATCTCCATTGCTCTTGAAATGTAAAGAGCCCTTCCCTTACATGCATGATGGATAAGTAGGACTTCTCCCCGCATGAGTAGGATTGGCCTTGGGCCAGATTGTGGTCCTCAGGCTCACAGCACTTAAGAGTTGCTTCTGCCATAATTGTAAAAAGAGGGAAAATAATGGAAATAGGACTCAGGACTCAGAGTAGAACAGACTTTTTTTTCCTGGAAGCACTGACCTAGCGTTTCCAGTGTCAGCTGGAAGTTAGAGAGCCTATCTTTGTCACTTGCCAAACAAATGCGCCCAAGTTGGGGGGGAGGGGAATAGAGACACAAGCTGAGTTCCCTTCCCCTCCAAGATGGGTCTGGCGCAGCATTAGGGGAGCACTATTCTAAGCAGATAGGCTTGGAGTCCTGCACAGCATCATTCAGCTACACAGAAGCTATCTCGCAGAGTGGAAAACCTCTGAGAAACAAATGTTCTTAATGGAGGAGTCAGGCACTCTCCTTGATGTTCAATTAGGGCCTTTTCTGTACAGAGTTAAGAGGGCATAGAATTCATAAATGTTTTTAAAAGCACTGGCCATACTCTCACAGGAGCTATGAAGGAGTGATGTTGGTCTTGATAGACAAAAGGCTTTATTGGAGCAGACATATTAATCAGAGTCTTGGTTCAAGAATGGAGAGGCACTGTCTTCTCTACACAAACAGCAACGTATCTTTCTTGCTGCCACAGCAAGGGAGGGGACAGAGTGGAGTAACAGAGAGGAAAAATAATTTAAAAGCAGATTGGTGATACTACTGGCAAATCCTTGAGAGAGAAGCACCTATGATAATATGGAGAGCCTTTGTAGGCAGTCCTAGTTTGAAAAGTTGGGGTCAAATGGTCTCTGAAAGTAGGGTAGCAAAGAAGGTTCTGGCACCTTAAAGCTGACCTGGGCTAAGTCCTCTAGGGATTAGTCAGAAATACTTAAGGTAACATTTGTGGGGGAAACAGACTGAGCTGGGGCAAACAAGAGCTTAAGAGATATTTTTCTTGTGACAAGCCGGCTTAAAAAAAAAATAATTGAGTGGGATGGGGCAGGGGATAGGTCAAGCTAGGTCCACATCGCTACAAAAGCCCTTTTACTGCCTCACATGAACTTGGCACAAATGGAACGTGTTGCTCTTTGCTTTTTCTAGTTGCTTGGCAATTTTATCACCTATAGCATAGGTGAGATTTTTCTAATTAATTTCATCTACGCTATTAGTCATTTTTTCATCTTGCAGATTACAATAGGCTTTTCAACAGTCTCCAGAAGTCCTGGTACTAATCCTGGAAATCTCTAGCCAAAACACTAAATAAGGACTCATTTCTACATTCTTTGAACATATTAAGTCACACAGTGTTTTAATACCATATACTTCTACGTAGGGGCTGTGGCAACAAGGACACCAGCACCTGGCTCTTACAGTATGATGGGGATAGCAATCTTCTAGGATAGGAGTTGGTTACCTCGTGGTTCTTTGTCTTGGGAGGAACAGGAAAGAATGTTACACTGATTTATTTGAATGTAAAGAAGTGGTTCCTAATGATTTTGTACATCTGAGCAAAGATGTTACTACTAAAGAAGGATGAGAGACTGGGGGGCTGGGCTGGTGATAAAAGCTTGTGTAACCTTTATTTATAAAGAAATCTCATCTTTAATGAACTTTAACAAAGACCTAGTACTAAATATATATTCTACAAAGTCAGGTTCAGTGACCAAATAAAGTTTATTACAGACTAATTATTTTATTCGTATACATAACCTACTACCCTAGTCTTGCTTATTTATTAAAAAAGAGCAAGTCAGAAACAAGATGAAGGTTTACTTTGAACAGATGCATGCACTTCCGTGGGCAGTTCTAATATCCTAATATTAACAAACCTTCAGAGATTAACTACCTAATGAAAATTAGCCAGTGTAATATAGGAAGTTCTGATTGAGAAATGGAACTTGTGTTTATCCTTCAGAAATAGTTACATACTGTTAGTTGAAAAATTCAATAGCATTACAGCTAATATACATCTAGGCTAGTGTTTCAGCAAAACATGTTTCTTGCAAAGTCAGGGCAGCTGTATTAAAAAATTAAACAATAATGTGCTTGTAATTATGTATAAAAAAGTGACATTGCAAGACTTAATTTTCAGTGATTTTATACATTTTCAAAATCCACAGTTTATTCCACGTATTTCTCCTCAGGTTATCAGTTAGACTGAAACATGCTATTACTCTGAAAACTTACATAAGTCATTCCCAAATCCACTACTAGAACCCATTTTGAAAGATTTAGGCAGGTATGCGGGTTGCAGCTTCCTCCTCTGCATCAGCTCTGTTTGCATTAATTTCCGCTAGCGTTCGACCAAAACGTGTCCATTCATCATTGCGGGGAACAGCAATTTGCTATAGAGAAATAGAATATTATTTACACCCATTGATAAGTACATAGCGAATGTAATTTAGCTCATTTTAACACCTTGTCTAAACACCACATTTATGAATTGTTGATAAAACAGCTTACCTTATTCATTAAAAGTTTTCAAATAGTCTGACCAGCAAATACAGCTGGTATGCATTGTTCAACAAAGGGTGGTAACTAGGGCTATGTCTACACTACACAGCTTTTAGTGGCATGGCTGTGCTGCTACAGCCGTGCCGCTAAAAGGCGCACAGGGTAGCTGCTGTTTGTCAGCAGCAGAGAGCTCTCCTGCCGACAAAAAACTTCCACCCCCCACCAGCGGCTTTGTCGGCAGGAGAGTGCTCCTGCTGACAAAGCACTGTTCACACCAGCGCTTTTCATTATTTTGTCATTCGGGGGTGAGTTGTTTTTTTGGTTTTTTTTATTTTTATTAAACACCCCTAAACGACAAAAGTTTTTCCAACGAAGTGCAGTGTATACAAAGCCTTAGTAAACTTTAAAAAAAAAAAAAAAAAAAAATTCAGTGCTTGATAAGGGTGCTGTCAGATTTCTAGCATTGAAGTCCTGTGTTTAAGCACAGAACAAATATGGCAGTGGTAGTAATAAGTCTGGCCCATGTACCTCAGTCTGGAGAGACCACCTCCACAGGTGAGAGCAGTTCTTTATCCTTGTCCAACAATCCTTGAAATATATATACCAATGGTAATTGTTTTAGAGAGATCAATTCCTACCGGGCAGGTGTTAAAGTGAGACTACTTCTCACTTTAAGTTCAAATGGCCATTGGATGGTACATTTTGTTCACAACCAACCTGGCATGCATTCAGAGTAGTGATAAAGGAGGTAAAATCTTGTCCACACCCACTACTAATCTCCTCTGCATGCAGTTTCTACTGCAGTATAAATTACACAGAACTCGTAAATTGTTAGATCTCTTTATTGCAGCTGCTTTTTCTTTAAAATGCTAAAATATTGTATGAAGTTGAACTGAGATTGAAACATTTAAAAACTATAATTAATCCTGAAAGCAAGAAAGGCCTAGAACCTTTATCTTGAATTACCATTTATTCCTGGCAAAAATGTTTTGAAGGAAAGTTGAAAGTCAAAAAGGTAAGTGACAGAGTAAATTCAGAAAGGTGCTTTAAATCCATGTAACCCACAAAGTAGCAAACACAAGTTACATACCTCTCCCACGTCATATATAACTATTTGTCCTTCTGAATCACCTACAGCAATCTCTCGCCCAGAATGTGTCCATCTCACACGATTAAGAGCAGGATTACCCTCCACAGTAATGCTTGCAGTTGGCACCTATATCCATTTAAAACACAGTTAAAACTAGCAGGATTTCTATAGATGTAATTATTCTCTCTGCCCAGGCCACTCCGTTATTAAAAAAAAAAAAAAAAAAAAAATCACACAAGTGTATTCTAGCCAACTGTTCCCCCTAGGGAAAAAGGAGATTTTTAAAAGGTTAAACAAATCTTCAGCATTGACCTGACAAGTATTTTCCCCAATGGTCCAGTACATAGGGAAGGGGAATTGGGAGAGATGGGAGTTTACAAGTCTTACCCCAGTTACTCTTCCTCTACTCCTCTTTCCTCCCAAAAGAAACCTCAGTTCTTAAAAAAAAATCTTGAGTTTGTAGCATTCATGAGAGAGCCTATTTTAAGCAATCCTCATTTAGAGAGATAAAAATTGCTTCATAATATTAATACAAACAGTCCCTATATCACTAGGACCATCTTGGGTGTAAATATACTATACAGGACAATGGGTATGGAGTCAAAATTTACACAAAAAAAAATAAAAAAAAATCTTAGGACAAGTACCCCCCCTAATTCTTCTCAAAACATAACAGCAATCAATTTCATTGCTACTTGGAAGACCTGCATTTAGGAATGACCTCAATAGCCTCCGCTAGTACAGCGAGGATCAGGTGCGTTTTGAGGCACAAAGCCCTTTGGTATTAAAGGCTCTATGTAAATGTAATATAAGCAAATATACTTGGGCTTTGGGATAGGTACTGACCAGGGGCGGCTCTATGGTTTTTGCCGCCCCCAAGCACGGCAGTCAGGTGGCTTTCGGCGGCACGCCTGCGGGCAGTCCGCTGGCCACGCGGATTCGGTGGCATGCCTGCAGGAATTTCGACGGTGCCGCACCGTCAGCATCCCCACCACCGAATTACCACCGAAGCCGTGGGACTGGTGGACCTCCCACAGGCATGCCGCGGGACCGGCAGACCTCACAGCAACTGGCAGGCCGCCCCCCCGCGGCTTGCTGCCCCAGGCACACGCTTGCTGCGCTGGTGCCTGGAGCCGCCCCTGGTACTGACTACAATCCTTTACAGAACCTCACTGTTTGCAAAGCTGTGCTGTAAATAAGGAAGTGTTATTTACTCCTAACAACACAAGAACTAGAGGTCACCAAATGAAATGAATAGGCGGCAGGTTTAAAACAAAACTGAAGTATTTCTTCACACAACACACAGTCAACCTGTGGAACTCCTTGCCAGAGGATGTTGTGAAGGACAAGACCATAATAGGGTTTAAAAAAACTAGATAAATTCATGGAAGATGGGTCCATTAATGGCTAGGATCATCTATTAGCTAGGATGGGCAGGGATGGTGTCCCTAGCCTCTGGTTGCCAGAAGCTGGGAACTGGCAACAGGATGGATCACTTGATGATTACCTGTTCTGTTCATTCCCTCTGAAGCACCCGCCATTGATCAATGGCGGAAGACAGGATACTGGGCTAGATGGACCATTGGTCAGACCCAGTATGGCCATTCTTATGTCTGAAAATAAGTGTCTCTCATCCTACCAGGTGGTTAATGATTGTGGTATAACTTTTCTAGCATGGGCGGGGAAAAAAAAAAAAAAACAGCCAAATTTGATTTTGAGTCAGTGAATCTACTATGGCAACTAACAGCATAATAGCGATCTTATATGACTCATTCATAGTATTAGGGTGTTTAGCCCTTGTATGCTGTAGCCACTAAAAGGTGTCTGGATCATGTACTTGGGCAAGTCCAAGGAAAAAGCCACACAAGTATAGCACGTTATATAGATAGGAATTTTGTATTGCTTTTATACTGGGAGGACAACATTTTAGTTACCATCTTCAGGCACTAAAAACGAGGTGATCTGAATTATTCCTGTCTAATCACACATCTACTGCATAATGCCACTACAGCAGCAGAAATACATAGCGCAACCATGATAAAGCATTTCTGGCCATACACATTTCTGAAGACGCCTAAGATTTTTAGTTCTTGTCAGATTTGAAGTAGTTAAGTTATTGTGCCTCACCTCAGTATCATTGTTGAGATTCCACAGATCAAGCCTACCCATTCCATCCACACAAGCAAACAGGGCAGGGTGAGTGGGAGACCACATCACATCATAAACATAGTCTGAGTTGTCTTCAAATGAGTAGAGAGGCTTGTTATTCTAAAACAAAGCACCAGATAGTACTTTACACCACACAATCTTTACATTTGGGATTCTGAAAGCAAAATCTTTTTGCAATGAAGGTGAAATATTGAGTTTTTGTACAGTTCATATTGCAGCAATTGTAAAATTAAGTAACAATCTGTGCTTAAAGAATTCCTTCAACTGTCTCTTACATAGAAAGAGGCCAAAAAATAACCGCAGGATGGGGGGGGAACCCCCAACCCCCCCCCCCCCCCATTTGGATGAATTATATAGCCCGTTTACTGCCTGATATTACAACAGCTTCAGTAGGAGGCTGGTATAACAACCTAAATATGAGTGAATTCTGGTAGTCTCTTGAGCTGACCTGATGGCCTAGGGGGTAGGCTTGTGCACTGTTATGGGAGAGACCCTGGCTTGACTTTAACCCTAGCCCAGTTTCGTGCTCCCCGGGACAGCAATGTTGCAGAGGCGGCTTGCTAAGAAAAGCGATGGAAAGGACGTTAGTCATGGCTCTTGACTGCAACTCAGTTCAGGCTCATTAGAAACGGTGTTGATTGGTTTTGATGGGAGCCACTACAAGACTGTGGCAATGCCTTGTGTGCTGTAGTGAGGCAGTGAGGACTATGGAGATGTGAGGACCTGAAATGGACACCTGAATTACCATAATTATAATATACTTAATATAATACATAATATACCTGAATTACAAAATAACTGACTTGAATCGTTATATTGGTCTTCCCAACCCAGTTACAAAAGTTAAAAGGATGAGCAAAATGGACCAGAAATAGACAAACTTGGCCACATTTACATATAAGTTACATTTAGGTGATAACAAGTTACAGTAATCTTGGTGATGCTACTTGCAGGTTATTAAAAGAGAACTAAGCTACATAAATTAACTCATCTGATGTTACCATTCACCCAGTCGACTTAACAAGCTTCCCTAAACCCTTTGACAACACTTTGGTTAACTAAAGCTTACATTATAGCACCACCTTGTGTCAAAGTCTAATCTGTTAGACGCCTCTGTTTTAGATACCTTAGTTGTCCAAAGCTTTACTGTCCAGTCAAATGATGAGGTGACAAAAAGATGAGAGAAGTCTACAGGTCCAACTGCTGCATGGCAATGGATACCTGTGATTGGTCCTTGGTGTCCTTCAAACATCTCACTGATTCCCGCTTTGCTGTTTTAAAATACATTATGTAGGTTAATTTCCTTTGAAACTATATTTCACACAGAGGCAATAAGGAATACATGTTTTAAATAAACTGGGAGTGGGTTTCAATGGAACCCAAATAGATATGGCCTGCAGAGGGGAAAGTGAAATGTGGGTTTGAATATGATCCTGTGTATTAGCCTCTTTTTTTCCAAAACCCTATTCTGTTATATTTAAGTGCAGACATAATACCATAGAAAACAGTAACATTTGGCAAGGCTATCCCATCCAGATTTGACTAGGTACCTCTTCAAGCAACTGCTAAATATTTGGATCAAATAACAAAATTCAGTCCTCAAATATGGATATGAAACTCCCATTGCCTTAAACAGGAGTTGCACTTAAGTAGCTGAGGCAGAGTTTAGTCCTAGTGACAATACATCCCCAATAATCTCATATCAGAACTGATAAAGTGGAGAGGAGGGAAAAAGGATGTTACAAAGAAGGGATACAATTTTGGCTAGTTTTAAACCAAAGAGCTATGCCGTGAGAGTGATGTGTATTTGAGATGAAAACTGGACACTCAATTTTATTTAAGAAAGCAATTGATAAGATACAGCCAGACAATTTCAAAACAGATTGAACAGCAGGAGAAATGCTAGCCAATTTAAGATTTGTGCGTGATTTTCCTGTACAATTATCCGTAGAACTGATAAAGTTTGGGATGTTCTGCTCCAATTCAAATGAATAGAACTGAAGTCTACCAGTTCATCTTCCTTTTCATAATTAAAAGTATTCCTAGCCAAAGTAAAGATCCACCAGTAGCAATGGTGGATCTTTTCTTGAACTTTAAAAGTCTTTTAAAATATGAAATATTAAATCAAAGATATTACCTTTTTATACAAGCACAAAGCTCTGCTATGAACATTAATTTAGCTTGCGCAACAAAATGTTTCTTATATTAAGTGAAAAATCCTGATAAGCTTTGCTATTTTGAACAAAAAAATAATTTGAGTGTCTATTCACCTGCCATGGCGGCATGCTGTGTACACAGAGCCTTCCTCACTTCCAACAACGAAGTTGTTGACATCTCCAACAGGAAAGGACATGCACGTGACAGCTACAGCCTTGGATTGCTTATGAATCAACTCCATACTATCCTGGAGAAAAAAGTAGCAGGAACTTATTTTTCAAACTTGCCATCTTAACTTTTACCAGAAATCGTGTAGATTTTCTAGTACTAGTTAGTTCACAAGCTATTCTTATTCCAGCCCTTTTCTACATTTGGAAGATCTGCCTCTTATTCATGAATCCAAACTTTAGCATCAGTACTGAAGAATCCAAAAATTATTATGACACTTGATTTACTACAGTAAAAAAGGAATTTCATCTTACAGAATTACTATACAACTACTCAGCTGGGAATGTCTGCATATTGTCAAAATGCTTAACACTACTTTACAAAGCCTTATGAAATACTTAAAGCAAACAGGTGAAATTAATATTAGAATGCTAAGAATTTAGTAACGTACAGACTACCTGAGCTCAAAAGAGAGTAAGTGGTAAGTAATAGCCTCATCTATAGCTCTCTCTTACATACTTTTCCAAGTTTACCCTACCTGCGGTTGGGAAAGCATGTCCAGACTCCATGAGCATATCTTTCCATCAGTTGAGATGCTAATCAAATTATGAGCATTTTGGGTCCCAACCACATTTACACAGTACACAGGGTGCTGAAGAGAGATTACAAAATCCTTTTCAGAAACAGTTTCCATAGTAACAAATTCAATAACACTCACTTAACACGAGTGAAATACAAATTAATATTTCATAAAGCAATTTAAGTTGACTAACAATACTATTTGAAATATATGAAAACTCATTTAGCTTTTTAGCATGTAACACATGGTGTTGAGATAGGCTCCTATAAAACTGACAGCTCTACGACAAAGACAATTTTTCAGTGCTGCTATTGGTAAACCAGACATAAGTATTAAAACATCATTACTGTTCATCCAGGGGAAACCCTCTCCCACCCCAAGGGGTTAATGGCTCAATAGTGAGAAGTTCTCATTTCACCCCCTACCGTGTGAGCAGCAGCTGAAAGTGGAGTTCTCTGCACTGGGGTTCTTTTATTGCTGCGATTATCCCATAGCACAATTTGGCCTGAATATGTGCCACCAACCACCAGATTTGGATGAAATTTTGCAAATGTAGCCGACATCACTGCTGACTGCAGAGGAGATGCACACAAAACAAAAAACACACATATACAAAGGGAACAGTTTTATGTTTAAGACTAAAATCAAGAATTTAAGGATAGAAAATCTGACTAATTACTGGTAGCGTGCTGTTTCCTCAGTTACATTTGATATTGCTTTTACTATCTTCTGCTCCTTTGTCCAAACATATGAAGGTTCACAACTACATGAGTTGAATGGTTACTTAAAAACCTTGACATTCTTCTGGTCTCAACTCTTACTAAATACAAATAAAAATCCCACTCTCTCCATATGTATACATTTGATTTGTATCTTTCCTAGAAGTTAGTAGCAACAGAAATAGAATCCAGTAATAAGACACATTCTGTGGTCATTTTTCAAGGAGAGCAGAAAACTGTTTTGTCACTATAGTATCAAATCATAATATAATTACCTTTGCAATCTATGCCTTGACAGTAATCTGACAGCATCAGATTACAAACTAGTTTTAATTCAACTAAGTGATTTTTCAGAATTATGACATTTTGAAAATAAATGGTTATTGCAGGTTTGGTCAAACAGAAAAGGTTTGCACATTTTTACCTTTCAGTAATCCATTTTAAAACCTGCATCTGTTTTTTACTTGAAGCATGTGTTTTTACTTATCTATTTTTTTCCAATTCCTCAGGCTATGTACATTTTATTCAGTGGGCTACGATCTAGTTATACATTCTGCATCATAGTTCCTGAAAAACCTCTCATACTTAAGGCATAATGTCAGTTTTTCTTTTAATAAATGAGATTAAGAAACAGATTTTCAGACATGTTTAAATATTCTGAATGTCAGAAATTTTGCAACAGAGGAATCTTTTCAAACTGAAGATGTCTTCAGCCATCAACATCTGTTTGCAAATACATGTGGTTAAAGTACATGCCAACCCAATGAAATCATTATGTTGACAAGAATAAATAAGGCACTTGTCCAAATTAATCAACATAAAATCTTGAGCCTGGTGAGACAGGAACTCACATCATACCTGGCAGTGAAAGACATACTCCGGGGTAGTTTTCTTGTATTTCATATTCCACACAAGAGCCACACCATCAGGCTCATGAGGGGCATCTTCATTATTGTTGTAGGAGGCTACAAGCAATTCTGGATACTAGTCATCGAGAAATTAGTGGGAAAAAATGTTCAAAATAAACAACTGCCTTATGGTCCAGTCAGTCCTAGAATCTTGATTTATAGTGGCAAAACTAAGTTTAACCCATGGATAAATCAGCTCCATAAACAGAAAATATTAGATTAGCTAATTACCACAGTAAGTATAATTACAAGGTTTACTCAAAAACAGTGTTAAAATACAAGATAATATAATACATAAATACTGAACACAATAATTAAAATATTTAGGTGAGGCTAGTTTCTTGGAGCTAATGCTATACCTTTATGCCTTGGGCATTTTCTGTTCAATTTATAGATTGCATTTAAAAGAACATTGTTAATTTCTGTTACCTCTTTCAAAATATATAAACAATCACATTCAATTACAGTATTGAAACAGCAGAATGTGTCAGAGCTATTCTAAGGACTATATATAAAGCACTGTGCATGTATGGTTCAAATAAAGTTGAGTGCACAAAACTTGAAGTATCTGCAAAGGTGACTCAAAGAAAATGTTGTTTTTACCTGAGATGACCAGTCCAAACAACTAACAACACGATGCTTTGACCAGCGTTCATCAAAAAACTGTCTGTTTAAGGACAGTTTAGCGCCTGCTTGAATCTCTCTGTAAAGAGAGACAAATGGAGGGTTCTAATCTAAGATCACTTTTTCAGTTACAAATATAGTAAACACAGTAAAGCACTCAATACTCCCACATTACCCTTCTTTGTCTTCCAAATCTCTTCCACTGTAGTCAAAGAAAATGTTAATCTGCTCAGAAAGAGCTCTTTCTACAATCCTTGTAGAATGGTCAAAGAAACTTAAAAACTCTTCAGAGTGCAAAATTTGCTGTTTTTCCTCTTCTGAAAGCTAAAGAGGGGAAAAAAAAAAAAAAAAAAAAAGGTTGGATTTTCCTAAAGTTCATTCTTATCTGTCAAAACATTTATGAAGAAAAACCAAATACTTTTCAAATTAAAATTTTTTTATATCCATATATTTTAATTTTTACATACGATTTTAAGTTATTTATATTTTTGTTTACAGAAAAAGTGGAAAAGATGTCAGTTTGATAAAAAACTATTACATTAAAATTACTAAACATTCTTTTATTTACAATGCCTAATACTGTGTCCTAAAGTGAGTTGTACCTTCCTCCTCTTCATCATTTTTCAATGTTTTTTCTTCTTCGGGTTCGATTGATGGCTTTGGTACCACCACATCATCATCTTCTTCATCATCTGAAAAGAAATTATACAGCAAAATAGTTAATAACAGTCCTAGAGAAGCACAGTAAAGTTCCATCCAGTTTCAAACAATACAAAAGTAAACACATTTGTGCATATGGAATAATTTTACATAAATTGATTGTTTCTAAAACTTAATCCATAAAAAGGATAACATTTGGTTAAAGTGAAGGAATATTAATGAGAACATTATCTACACCACTATTTCGTATACAACAGTCATACCAAATTGCGTAGCTGTGTAAACTGAAACAGAATACATAAGCAATTGTAGAGAATTCACAGTGGAAATCTCTAAATTTACAAGCATTTATCATTCCAGACAGAATATGGAAGTACCACATAGTTTTATGTAACATGCTGACACATTAATGCTGCAGAATAAAGAAAATCAAATGTCTAAAATAGCCTACAGAGCTGCTGCTTACTTGTGATCTGAAACCATCAGTGTCTAATGGGTCTTCGTATGGCATAAAGATGACTTACATTAGCTTTCAGGTTGCTATTCTGAGAGGCAAATTTTGCTAAAGATAATAGCTGAGAGATTACATTTTTTTTTCTGTCATTCTAAATGCAAGTCTCATTATCTGTATCATGTTTGGCAATGAGAATTTTAAAGCAAAATGTGTTTTCCCTAATTGCAATGAATAACATAAAATGTTAATGTTCTGGAATACTGACAAGGTTTACAGCACTTTTTACATTACTACATTTTATCCTTTGAATACTGTAAACCAGAAAATAACTTTAAATTACTTAGTGTTGTGGAATATGCATTTCCTGTCTTTTCTTCTTCTCCTTTCTAAGGTAAGTTTCTGAAAAGACTATTTTTACTGGTTAAACAGCTATGTCATCTGTCTATAAGGGAATGGCAGCAGGAGTCTACAGCATGCTTCATCACAAGTAACAAGACAGTATTCAACAGGGACTCGACTTGTTTGTCACAGACATTTCTCTGACCCATGTTCAAAGTTCTCTAACAAAAAACACACACGCACCCACACACAAAAGAGTGGTCAAGGGATGGGAACCAGCTGCCAAGCCCTGGTCCCAGCAGCCAGGCCAGCTGACTAGATAGCAACAACCAGATGGTACTGCTGGGATTGTGTGTCTCTGCTATGAGGTGGCAATGGGATGGCACAACATTTTTCTGCCTCACTGCTTCCAATCATGTCTTTCCCCAATGGCAAGCCTGTGCAATTACCAGCACTCCAGGAGGTCCACAGACAAGCCTTTACCCTCTAAACAAAATACAGCTTGTAGGCCATACCAGCTGCCAAACCACACACATAGTGATAGGTTTAGAGAGGTCTGAATATCTTTCTAACTCCATAGTACAGGCAATAAAAATATAACTGTACCTGCAGGAAAGAAAGCTTTAAGTGACACTGTATAATGCTCACAATAATACAAACTCCAACTTAATCAAAATGATAATGACGTATGCCAATCGTACATTACTTGAAATTGAGCGATTTTTACGTTCTGACAAGTTTACAGAACTAGGATAAATGGCATGAATGATTTCAATATATGCTCATACTTTTGAACCAAATGGTGAAGGTTAAAATCTTTCCTTTCAAGGGCCTCAATCAGCCACAAAGGAAAACAGTAATCACTGTCTTTTCAGCCAGCCCAACCGCATTTGTCAGCCCTTTCTCTGTCAATGCAGCCAGAGCAATCAACCTGCCAAACATTCAGAATGGAAAAACAATCTGAAAATACAGGGTATAATGCACCTGCCAGTGAAAATGGCCATTTCAAGAAAAGCTAGTGATCTCAGTGACCCTGCTGAGGAGGCGGTGGTGCAAAGGGGAAAGAACGCGTAAAAGAATTCTTAGTGATCTCCACTCTCTTGCACATTGACACTTCCTTACAAAGCATGCCAATTACAGCTTTTGTGCTACTTAAAAAAAAATGAAAGCTTTTTTGGGCAAAATAATCACACGGAGAAACAGAAAGACACTGCTCCTTTTTAGATGGATTCGCATGTACAACTGACTATTAATCTGAAAACTGTATAACTTGTAGCAAATCCTAAACTGTATTGTTCAAACCAAACTGAAATTCTAACGTCCAGTCACTGTGGGTCTGAACATTGATACATTTATATTTACTAGATATGACTGAAGAGCAAATTGCAAGACAATTGATGTACAATGAACATTTAATTATGTAAAAAAATATTTGTTTCCCCAAGCAATCTTGCTGCAGTTAACAAAATGCCCTAAATTTAGAGACCTGGATTCTGGTCACTCTGGACAGCTACTCTAGCTTTAAATGTAATGAATTAGAAAATGCATCCCAACTTTGCTGCATCACACTGATTTTAAGTACCATTTTCAATGACAGGAGTCAAATTCCTAACAAATGCAGATGGTCAGCTGTTTAGTGCTAAGTGACCTCATAATCGACATATTTTACAGAAAAGATCTTGTAGCAGATTGCTCCTCCCTTTTAATGTTTCAACATAGATGGTGTATATTATACAGAGATCCAAATTCCTTCATATTACTCTCAGTATGTGTTGTCAGCTTATGAGTTATTGCTGCAGCTGAGTGCTAGACATAGTAGAGCAGAAATTACTTCAATACTTTAAGGTATCAGGGCTGTTGATGACTCAGTCCTATTTTTAGGTTTATTTATGTACAAACATCCCCCTGGTTCATAATCCTTGTAGCCTTAATTCTATTGTGGTTACTTTATATTAAGCAACACTATTATTCATTTATTTATATAAATAAATAAATGGATTAGTCAAGAATCTTGAATTAAAACATAAAAGCTTAGAACATTAAAATGTTGTATATCGATTTGCAAGAAACAAAAGAATGGTCCCTACCCAGAGAAACTTACAATCTAAAGACACAACCAGAATCCACTGGAGAACAGGAAGGATCAGAGTTAAGTTTTAAAAATTTCCTTTCCCCTCCTCTTCCCTCCCCCTTCCCCCAATCACCTCCTCTTACTTTAACAATAATGGTCCAAGTGTTAAGTGTTTGCAGGGGTTGTGATACAATATGATGAATAGCAACACACAGTAAAAAGTATTAAAAGTTCTAATGTTGAAAAGTTTACCATTTCTAATGCATTAAGTACTCACTTAAAATCTAAATGAATCACACCACCACAAAATCTATGATCTTAGCCTGAACTTTTGCGGAGGTGACCTTCTCTACTTCAGTCTCCCCGCTGTTCATTACCGACTACTTTATCACCACATTCTACAGGCCATTACCCAATGATCCCACTGAGGGTTACCAAAAGAAACTATACCATTTGCTCAAGAAACTCCCTGAAAAAGCACAGGAACAAATCTGCACAGACACACCCCTAGAACCCCGACCAGGGATATTCTATCTGCTACCCAAGATCCATAAACCTGGAAATCCTGGACGCCCCATTATCTCAGGCATTGGCACCCTGACAGCAGGATTGTCTGGCTATGTAGACTCTCTCCTCAGGCCCTACGCTACCAGCACTCCTAGCTATCTTCGAGACATCACTGACTTCCTGAGGAAACTACAATCCATTGGTGATCTTCCAGAAAACACCATCCTGGCCACTATGGATGTAGAAGCCCTCTACACCAATGTTCCACACAAAGATGGACTACAAGCTATCAGGAACAGTATCCCCGATAAAGTCACAGCAAACCTGGTGGCTGAACTTTGTGACTTTGTCCTCACCCACAACTATTTCACATTTGGGGACAATGTATTCCTTCAAATCAGCGGCACTGCTATGGGTACCTGCATGGCCCCACAGTATGCCAATATTTTTATGGCTGACTTAGGGGACAAGAGCTGAGGAAGCGTTGTTCTAACGCCCCTACTCTACTTGCGCTACATTGAGGACATCATCATCTGGACCCATGGAAAAGAAGCCCTTGAGGAATTCCAACATAATGTCAACAATTTCTATCCCACCATCAACCTCAAGATGGACCAGTCCACACAAGAGATCCACTTTCTGGACACTACAGTGCTAATAAGCGATGGTCACATAAACACCACCCTATACCAGAAGCCTACTGACTGCTATACTTACCTACATGCCTCCAGCTTTCATCCAGACCACATCACACGATCCATTGTCTACAGCCAAGCTGTAAGATACAACCGCATTTGCTCCAATCCCTCAGACAGAGACAAACAACTACATGATCTCTATCAAGCGTTCTTAAAACTACAATACCCACCTGCTTAAGTGAAGAAACAGATCGCCAGAGCCAGAAGAATACCCAGAAGTCACCTACTCCAGGACAGGCCCAACAAAGAAAGTAACAGAACGCCACTAGCCGTCACCTTCAGCCCCCAACGAAAACCTCTCCAGCGCATCATCAAGGATCTACAACCTATCCTGAAGGACGATCCCTCACTCTCTCAGATCTTGGGAGACAGGCCAGCCCTCGCTTACAGACAGCCCCCCAATCTGAAGCAAATACTCACCAGCAACCACACACCACACAACAAAAATACTAATCCAGGTACCTATCCTTGCAACAAAGCCGGTTGCCAACTCTGTCCACATATCTATTCAAGGGACACCATCATAGGACCTAATCACATCAGCCACCCCATCAGAGGCTCGTTTACCTGCACATCTACCAACGTGATATATGCCATGTGCCAGCAATGCCCCTCTGCCATGTACACTGTCTCTATGTAAAAGAATAAATGGACAAAAATCAGACGTCAAGAATTATAACATTCAAAAACCAGTCGAAAAACACTTCAACCTCCCTGGTCACTCAATTAAAGACCTAAAAGTGGCAATTCTTCAACAAAAAAACTTCGAAAACAGACTCCAACGAGAAACTGCAGAACTGGAATTAATTTGCAAACTGGACACCATTAAATTAGGCTTGAATAAAGACTGGGAGTGGATGGGTCATTACACAAAGTAAAAACTATTTCCCCATGCTAATTTTCCCCCTACTTTCAAAGTGGTAGCCACGTTAGTCTGTATTAGCAAAAAGAACGAGGAGTACT